ATTATAAAGCAGGCCAAATTCATAGTTCTGTTTTTATACAGTGTGTTGTTGGTGTACCTTATGCCAACTTTATTAACTGGATGTCTCCATATGAGATGCAACATGTTTACTTTGTATATCATGTTTAGGATAAAGTTTTAGAGGGCTTTCTTTTTAATTTTATATTTAATCAGGTACTCCCAGTACATGGTATCGTCCTAAATCCAAACTTCTACATGCTCCTTAAAGAGATTTTTATCACTTTGCCCATTCAGGAGAAAGTAACACCAAGTCTTCAAAGGCCATCCCCCCAACACTATTAGAATTGGCTGCCCCACATTCCCCTACTGCAGATTGTTGATCTGCAGCCCTAACCCTGTGTCATCTCTGTATGTGAGCTTACACAGGGTTGTTGTTACTTCCTCTGTCACGTGACAGTGTTTGGGACTGGCAATTGGCTGCTTAGGCCAGAGTACTGTATCATGGGAAGGGTTCACATATTTATTCATATTTATCCAAGTGGCGGTATCTTGTGGCAACTCCAATGGCTCCAATTGTCACCAGGACTGAAAGTGAGATACTTCAAAATCCAAAATGTTTAAGTATTAGTGGAACTGGAAAGGTGCTCGTCCAATGAGGACACATGTTCCAGTGATGGCTGTCTTAGAACATTTCCCTGCCTTTTAATAATTGGCTTTATCACTTGTTAAAGGATAAGTGCACTTTCAAAGTGTACACATCCTTTGGGCCCATTTAAGCTGACATCACTGCTCCCTCCCCTCTTTGAGCAGAGATGAATACTTACCAAGTTCCAACAGGCCTGACCTCGGTTGGTTGTTGACATCCTCCGTTGGATGTCTCCTCCTGGCCATGCCTGTGCAATAAATCCCCATTGACATCTATTGGGCTTGTCTAGTTCTGTATCCGAGCTGGGAGACCGGCTCCATAGAAGTAAATGGGGAGTTGCTGTGGCCAGAAAAAGGAAACACTGGATGTCAACAAACAACCGAGACTGGGCCTGTTGGAACCGTGCGAGTATTCATCTCTGTATGGGGAGGAAGGGAGCAGTGACGTCTGCTTATAGGGGCCTAAAGGATAAGTGCACGTTGGTTTAATATGCACCTATACAAGGGTGATTGCCCTTGCCTGAAATACAGATTTCCTAATGGCCAGTGTGTCTTCCACAAAGACTCGTCCCTTCTGTGCTCCTAAAGGACGATAGCTTGTCAGGCCTGTAGTAGGTTTGTCTAGCTGTCCCTTAGATCATTCAGTCTCAAGCATGTTGCAGTGGGTAGACTGCTATTCATATCTTGATCAACAACCTGTACTTTGCTATCTATTGATCATGGTAAGTGGATAAGAGGGTTTCTCCAAGCATGGAAAGCCTATGGTTTGCATGTGCCATTTTAGAGCAGGTACTGTATGTTTTTCTGTTGTTGTGAAACGCTTAAATCTTAACCAAAGCATTTATTTATATATTGCAATCTACTGAGGATGGTGTGAAAATAACGTGGCATGTTTTGTATTTGACATTGCTGGGTGAAATTCATTTAAAATACAGAATGATATCCGATGAATCCACATTTTTGACGGAACACTTTTGATTTCAGTTGAATTGGTAAACAGCTGATGAATTTCGCCCATGCATAACCATGTTTACTAACTTGGAACTTATACAGTATAACAAAGTTCTGGTTTCATGAATTGTTTTTGAATTTAGTCAGGCTTTACAACTGACCGTTTTCTTGCTTGAGTGAAAGCTTGCAACAATAATTATATAGCATGACAACAAAGCATGTATACATAATATTAGGGATGCAACGAAATTTCGGCAGCCGAAAATGGTACTTTGGGCAAAATGGCAAAGGTACTTTTTTTTTTTTGCCTAGTTTCTCTAGCTCTCCTCCCTCACCGCCCCTGCTCGGCCTCCCGTGGCAGGCAAATCAGAATGGAGAGAGGTGTGGGGAGGAGTCAGCTGTCAGCCGTGTCACAGGAGGCTGATCTCTCTACACCACCTGCTCAGCCTCTGTTTGTACCCCTGATATTTTCCCCAAAGCCCCCAACCATAAAGTTAAAAAAAAAAAATGTAAATATATTAAAAAAATTATTTCAAAAAGGTTAGGGGAAAACAAAATGTTGGTTTAGCCTGACAAAGTTTTTTTAGTTTTCAGTTTCGGTCTGAAAATTCCATTTCGGTGCACCTCCTACATAATATCCTTATAAAAATTTATATGGCTCTAGGTGAGTTGGTTAATCGGTCAGGAAACAATATGGTAGCTTTAATACCTGACTCGTTTATTGACATCAGTGCTGTTATCCTTATCCTTGCTACTAAAGTGAGTCACTGACCTGAAACAAGGTCAAGTTAGGCGCCTTGGTATCTGAAATACTCATGGTGGTTCTCAGTCAGTGATTCCTCTACTACTGAAGGAAGGATCATGCTCTTTCAAAAATGATTCTGTATTGAATGCTCCCATATTTGTACCCCGACATGCTCTGTTTAAGGTCCTCGCACATAACCTCATTCTTTTAGATACTTTCAAGAGGCAATAAATACTGTAGTAACTAGGTTATCTATCTATTTTTGGCATAATTCAGCATTTAAAGATTAACTCCAGAGAGTTATAAAAATACATTTATTTCACTTATGTATGGATTTTATTTTAAATTCCGTAACTAGATAAAAAAAAGATGCCCTTTTAGGTTTCTGGATACCCCTGTACAGCAGGGTTGATAGAAGGAAATGCTAGGTTTAGAGTGCTATCGGACCCATTGCTTTGAACAGTGCTGTCAGTCTGCTATTGGTTACAGGAGGATGGAGCGCAGAAATCACCCAATCAGTATGCCCCTGCTATTTTACTGTTCAATCAGAAGGCTTGGATGTGTCCTGGACTAAGCTATATTGCTTAACCGCTGTAATGTTTAGGGACCTGGCTAAGTTGTCTGGCAGGAGTGCCTTGATCACAAAACTGACTAAACAGAATTATAGCCGTATTTTGGCTGTATATTTTGCCGATCAGCTTCCACATGCAGCTTTTCATGGCAATAAAACCCTCACTGTAGCATATCAACATTGTAGCTCCCACCATTTAAAATGTATTCCCTGTGCGTCACACTGAAAATAGGTCTTCCTTGTTCTGGAAAAGGTTTAACACTGCACTCAAAGTGCATATGTATAGTACTGTAACTGGCATGTGAAAAATACATCTGCACCAAAAAACATGAACATGGGCCCTAAAAGTAAAGGAAAGTTAAAACATGTTTCAGTCGTAGAATATATGAAGATAATCCTTCTGTTGATGCAATACATTTCAACAAGAGCGTCATTCTGGGCCATTTGTATTGGAAGTAATAGGAATTCTGCGCCTTCATGCACAAATCTGCAGACTTGCTGGAACTCCTCCCACTCCCTCCCACTTCTCTGGCCACTGCACATGTTTTAAAACATCACATGCCTTTATTAGACCAAGCTTTAGTTCATAAGATCAAAGAAACCTTAACAAAATGTTGAATGTAAACCTATAGATTTCAAAAATGTGGTATCTGGTATCCTTGCCAACAATACATTTCTTAGCAGTTTCCTGTCTTAGGGTGACAACATTCATTGAGTGTCTGTCTATGCAGGAGCAGGGTCACCCTTGTACATGAGTGGGCAAACTCCAGCCCTCCAGCTCAGGTTCAACTACATTTCCCATTAGGCATTGCAAGACTCTAACCGCCACAGGCAAGACTCCCCACAGGCAGATGCATGATGGGATTTGCAGTTTCACCACAGCTTGAAGGCCAGAGTTTGCCTATCCCTCTACTTGGGTGACATTTCTCCTGCATAGACAGGCACTCATGCCTTGGTCTTCAAGATCACATTGCTGTGGTCTACAAGCTGACATGTTGGTGGTCCTCTAGAAAGCATACCTACATTTTTATTCAGTGCAAAGCAACATGGGATCTGTAGTCCTGGCTGAGCTGGCCATGCTACTTCAAAGAGATATGCCCTACAGCTAGACATGGGTTGATTAACCATAACTGCTAAGCAGTACAATTAAAGTATGTACACAAATTAATTCCAAGAAGATATAAAACTCCACCCAGTTTTATTGATAGTACTCTACATCAAGTGATTTTTTAATGAGGGTTTCAGCCTAATGTATTTAGTTCAATGTAGAAAAGCCCGTTCTCTATACTTAAGTGAATGACTTCATTGTTGGTGAGTAAGATTTGCCACTACAGAGCTGCAACTAGTAGCGGACTTTGTAATAAATGATAGCAAATCTATTTCACCACAGACTTTACAGAGACCTTGACAGACTCTGGGGAACTGTGAATGCAATAAGGAAGTGCTTCAACACCTTCTAGAATTCTCTGCTGTGTAAGACTAAAAACTATATATCTCCAAGAAAGAACAAATATGGGATGTTTCTAAATTGCCTGTCTGTTATGAGCATGTGTGTGTGATTTACATATTAATCTGAGTTCTGACATAACCTTTTAGTTCCTAAGGGTCTGTTCACACCAGCAGTAAATAAAGCGGTGCATTGCACCATTTACCAGTTCTCTTCACGCCAATGCAGTGCGGAGAAATAAAGTACAGCATGTTGCACTTTTCTACAGCACACTCCACCACAATGCAGTGGTGGCAACTGATTTTAATAGTTAACAAGGTAAATTGCTTTGTCTAGATCAGGGATAGGCGAACTCCGGCCCTCCAGCTGTGGTGCAACTACAAATCCCATGAGACATTGCAAGACTGACAGCAGTAAGCATGACTTCCAGAGGCAGAAGCATGATTTGTAGTTGCACCACAGGGGGGCCGGAGTTTGCCTACCCCTGGTCTATATGATAGGACTACGCTGGGCGAGGCTTCCCAGCGCAGCTCAACACATCTGGTGTAAACGGGGCCGTAAATGCCTGATTTAGTGTGCAATATTGTAAGAGCAATGGCTTATGGTAACATTCTCTCCCTAACTGTGTCACATCCAAGACGGTTACACAACTTGACTTTTTTTTTTTGCTTCTAATTACAGAGAAAGTGGCACGCGCAAAAGACGAAAACTCAAATATGCATCAGATGTTGGACCAAACACTTTTGGAATTAAACAATATGTAAAAAGATCTGCTGGTGTTTACCTTTTGACATCTGGTTTTCTGAAGACACTGCTTGTCAAGAAGTCCCTCTTTTTTAATGCAGTTTTTGAGGAAACCCCAGGGCTGGGATGGGGGCAGATATTTGTGGATTTTCCCCTTTTTTATTATTCCTCTTTTTCCCTCAAAAACTTGTTGAAAAAACTAAAAGGAGTCTATTTCAGTCCACAGATGTAAACTGGGAAGGGATATTTTGGAATGCAGTTAGCCATTGTGCCAATTGTGGATGGCCGGTTAGTGGCCAAAATGTTCAGACGTGTCTTTTTTTTTAAACGGTTTGTCTGGGTAGCTTCTTGCGAGGTAATTTTTATTACAACAAAAATAAACTCGGTTAATTCTGTCTGTTTTACTTGTAATATCCTCACTTAAAACTTTGGTTGGTCCATTTTGATTCCCTTTTTTTGAATCTGTCCCGGAAGGTTTTTTTGGGGGGTATAGAACAGGACAAAAAAAAACTAACTCAGGGTTAAGTAGGGTTTACACATTTGACAACCAGTTAAATTATGGGTAAGTGGGGTTATATATGATATTCAGACAGATGCAGTGGTAGAAGTTTGCTTTTTATACTTGATTTGTATGAGTTAACCTCCAAGTAAAACCATCACCATGGTAACGGCTGTCCATAATCTGAGTACCCAATATTTACTACATGAAAGAATGTAGAAATTTACATTGTGTGTATTGTACTGTACAATGGTTGTTTATAGAACTTAGATTATTTAAATCCTATATAATTTAAACTATGAAACTCCAGATATTGGCTATTAGTATAACTGTTAATATCTAAATGTCTAAAGATCATTTAAGGCAAAATAAAAAAGGAACAAAAAAAAAAAATCTTACACGCATTCCGCTCTGTTTTTATGGTCTAACTGCATTCATCCTCCCCCCTATGTTTTCTTTTTAAATCAATTCATATGTAACGAATATTCCCAAATTTAAATTTGAGAGAGATTAATGTGTTATCAATGCGGACATACAGTTTTTGCAATTTTTCACTTCTTTTTTTTTTTTTTTTTTTTACACACCAGTTTTAGATTTAAACCAAAAATGTAAAACATTGTAATATGAAATAAAAAGCACACTTGAAATTTTCTATATTATGGTCTCTTCATAATCTGTCCTGCTGCCTTGTATGTTTGTAAGTAAATACTGTAATTCTGTATTCAGTGTCTTGTGCTTAAAGTACACAAAGTGTTTTCCCCATAGTTCTCTTTAGGGTCATAGAAGGTCGGCTCAGTAGATCGGGAAGTGAGCGAACACATACCGGTGTTCGCTCACCTCCCGATCCTGTCACAGCTCTCTGCCGTGACAGGGGAGGGGCTGGATTCCCCCCGCTCCGATCCGCCAGCGCTGACTGGCGGAACGGACGGGGGAGGGGGCGGGCACAGCTGGCTCTGCCTTTAGATAAGCAGAGCCAGCTGTCACTCACGCAGCTTGGCGGATCCAGACATAAATGTGGCGGCGGTATACTGAGCTTAGGGTGACGGGTGGACGCTAGTTTGTGTCCTCCCGTTACCCTAAGGAGAACTATGGGGATTGAAAGCATTTTTACATTTTAATTCCTGAGTTCAGTTCTGCTTTAAGGGCCCATTCACACCACATCCAGATCATGACCAGACCAGATTTGTTCTGGACCCAAAATGCATCCTAATGTATCCCTATGCTATTTTTGCCCTTTTTCACACCAGTGCAGTCCGTTCCAGACCAGAAAAATACTGCATGTCTCATTTTGTCTGGTCTGGAACTGCGGGCAAGTTCACACCATTTTCCGGACCAGATCTGGTCCGGAAAATGGTGTGAACCTGCCGCAGTTCCAGTGCATTCCAGACCAGACAAAATGAGACCTGCAGTATTTTTCTGGTCTGGTCTAAAATGGACTGCACTGGTGTGAACAAAGGCTAGAAATAGCCAGGGCCGCCGTCAGGGGGGTACGGCCGATATTGATGTAAGGGGCCCGGGCACCTTACATGAGTATCGGCCGTTCAAGTGACAGGCCAGGATGTGGCCGGGCCCCCCACAGCACCGGAGGAGGCTGGGGCCCGCACACTCCAGACCCTCACCTGGGATGCCTCCTCCAGTGTCCCCAGGGGGTCTCTCCACTGTACATTAGTTTTTAACCTGGCAAGCGCCCACATATTTAATATATTGCCGAACAGGCAATATATTGAATGAAAATCATTCCCTGGTCGTCAAGTGGGGAATCGGTATGATCTGCATCTCTTGCTGATACAGATCATACTGATCGCTCCCTTGTGGTGCTTCTGCTAACATGCAGGGATTGATTAGTATGTCTGCATCAGCCAGAGTGCAGATCACATTGATTCTCCACTGAAGCCCAGGGATGCAGCCCCCCTTCCTGCAAAACAGGTAAGCAGGAGAGGGGGACGTTTTTTTAAATAACTATTTTAATTGTGTGTGTGTGTGTTTTGTTTTTTTATGAATGTTTTGTTTTTTTAACGAGTGTGTGTGTGTGATATGTGCGTGTTTCATTACACATGTGGTGTTTTTTTTTTTTTGTTTTTTTACCTCCACAGCTGCCGGTGCCACCGTCAGTTTACTGGGCTCATCTGTCCCTCGTGTGAGCCCAGGCCGCGCGTGGAGGTGCTCCCCTGACAGATCGGAGGAGAGATCAGTGGCTTCTAGCTGTGGATCTCTCCTCCGATCACTGGACCCGGAAGTGATGTGCATTACATCACTTCTGGTGTCACTGAACACAGTCTCTGGCTCTTAGGGCCTGTTCAGACCACTTACAATGCGTTCCGGCCGGAACGCACTGCATCGCATTGCAGTCGGCTCACTTTTGTGCTGGGCAGGAGGGGGCGTGGCGGGCCATTGAAGTGAATGGCGCCGTAGCCACGCCCTTTGGCCGCAATTTGATTGCCTGCACAGGATTGCAGGGCACATTCTGCCTGCAGTGTGGTGCGGTCAAAATGCTGCCCTGCGATCCCGTGTGGGCGATCGCATTGTGGCCGGAGGGCGTGGCTATGGCGCCATTCACTTCAATGGCACGCCACTCCCCCTCCTACCCGGCAAAAATTGAGCCGGCCGCAATGTGATGCAGTGCGTTTAAATACAAAAAATATTTTTTTAACTTTCCCATTTCCCCACGTGCATGCACATACAACACAAACCCGCGTCTGATGCGCATAAACAAAAATTACGCCACACATGTTATGTATCGGCGCGAGCGTCGGAGTGAGAGCAATAATTCTAGGCCCATCAATCACTGATAGCACTAAACTAATGAGCCGTAAAAGCATTTAAAGCGTTGCTTATGGAAAATTTTGGTTATTGTAGTTTTTGGCGGTTTCATGGATGCTTGACATGCTTAGTATCTATTTGCCCGGCGTGGCCCCGTCTTTTATATTGTACCAAAAAATTAGCCATTATATTCTGATTCTGTGCACTAAATTTCATTTTAGTGTATTTTAGCCTAAAAATATTGGTTTGATAAACATTTGCGCAAATACCGTGCGACATAAAAAATTGCAACTAGTATCTTTTTTATTCTACAGGACCTCGGCTTTCAGAACATATATTGTTTGGGGGTCTGAAGCTGTTTTCTACCCAAATATTCAGATTTTATCATGTGTGTGCAAATGTAAGAAATTGCTCCGGGCAGCAAGTGGTTAATGAGTGTGTGTTATGCGTGTGTTATGAGTGTATAAATATTTGAATGTGTGTGTTTCCTTATTTTGTCTGAGGCGGTGATGATGCTGAACATTTTTTAAACCCGAGCGCCCAAACTGCAACGCAATACTAAAGTTATTTTCAGAGTTGGCACTTTGAGATAAATTGATTTTGCGTTGCAGTTTGGGCACTCGGGTTCAAAAACATTCGGTAGCGGGGGATCACGTCACTTCCAGCCAGTCCAGCGGCAGAGGAGGCCAGGCACTAGCACTAGCAGCAGGAGCAGGTAAGAGGAGCTGGGAGGGAGATGCAGCCCCAACCAGCCCACCTGAGACCCCTGTGGAGCCCACCATAGAGAGTCTCAGATGGGCTGTGCAGCATGTATGGTGTGCTCTGCAGGGTCACTTTCAGGTGGGCTGTGTGGGGTCTCAGGTGGGTCCTGTGTCCGGCGCGCAACTAAGCCCACAGTCCGGCGCGCAACTAAGCCCACAGTCCGGCGCGCAACTAAGCACACAGTCCAATTCATATACTGTTCTGCATTGCTGTATAAATGTATTGCTAGGATTTGTAGTCACCCTACAAGCGGTGCCATTCTGCATTAGAGTGTAAGCTCCTCTGTACAGGGACTGATGTGACTGGCTCAGTGTTCTCTGTACAGGATTGCGGTATATATCATAGCTATATACATGTATAACAGTGTGACTGGCTCAGCGGTGCGGGGGGGTGGGTTTGCGGGGCGACAACTGGGCAGGGAGGGGGGCCTGGGGGGCCCGGCCTAAAGCCATGTAAGGGGCCCCGAAATTTCTGAAGGCTGCCCTGGAAATAGTATAGGGATACATTAGGATGCATTTTGGGTCCAGAAACAATCTGGTCTGCTCATGATCTGGATGTGGTGTGACTGGGCCCTTTAAGCTGTCAAATTGTAAAATGTATTAAAATAAGCTACCATTTGATTACTGTATAAAAAAAAGCTGTTTGGCTGACTGTCATCCAGATTCACTGGCTTCAATACTTTTGAATTGCTGACTTGAAACAAGTAGGCATGGAATCAAGCCAAACCCCCTAATCTGCATACTTGTTCTGAACAAGTGATTTAGGAGAAAGGCACTTTTGTCAGGACAGGTTTTCTTTTGAGATTCTTTGTGAGAATGTCAAATTTAAACCACATGCAAATGCATAAAAGTATTTTAGTTGCTCTTCTGCATTGGAGATTTCCCATCCTTCCTGTCCCTGCAACCAGGACAAGAAATACAGGTAAATCTCCCCTCAGGGGACAGAGATGGCAATAAAACTGCTAAAAATTCTGACTTTTCTCCCAAGCATTAAACAAAACGAAAAGCTGAAGATCGGCTTTAAGCAGTACATCTTGGTCAGTGACCCACAGTAATCTGTGACTGGACAATAAAGTAGCAGTAGGTCACTGATGAGGTCATCCCTGTACTCCTATTTTTATTTGTAAACGAGTCACAAGTGCTAGTTCGAGCCACTGTTCAATGCAAGAGAATCTGGTTGACTTTCATTGCTGTCCCTTGTCAGGGCTCATTCATATCAGCTGCATTGAGCTACATTGATGGAACGCAGGCTCAATGGAAAGAAACATAGAAAACAATTTGGTTTTTTTTTGTATGCCCTGTTAACACCCTATATGTTGGGTACAACATGTGCCCACTGGGGTGAATGGACCCTAAGAGTCCTGTGCACACAGTTGAATTTCAATAGCTACATTTTAAGGGGTTATGGTAGGGCAGGGTTATTTTAGGTCAGGGAATTATTAGGAACATTGGCACACTTTGAATAGCGCTGATACGTTCACTTCTCAGTGGCCAAACTATCAGCAATGGACTCCTGGCAGAAAAATCCAAGGTACCAAAAACATTTTGGGCATTCTGGAGAGCAATTACAGGGTTGTTTTTTTTTCCCAAGAGTACATTTTGAAAGAAGTAACAAAGGATCTGCTTCGCAATGATAGAGAGGAAAAAAAATATGTATATGTTTACACACACAGGCACCAGCAGCAGGAGCAGGTAAGAGGAGCTGGGAGGGAGATGCAGCCCCTAATAGCCCACCTGAGACCCCTGTGGAGCCCACCATAGAGAGTCTCAGATGGGCTGTGCAGCATGTATGGTGTGCTCTGCAGGGTCACTTTCAGGTGGGCTGT